CGGGGCTCGAACTCCCGGACCGCGAGATCGTGACCTGGCTGAAGTCGGACGCTTAACCGACTGCGCCACCCAGGCGCCCCTCAAATTTCTTTTTAAAGTGATGTGAATTTTACATCTTCCTGTCTGAAAGAATAAAATGTTACCAACCCTCATTAAATCTGAGTGGTGGGTGCAAGGAAATCTGTAGCAAATTGGTAAAAAGAAAACCATGCAAAAAATAAATAAAATTCTCCACAATAGACCAGTCATTAGGCTGCAGAAATTTCGGCCATAGTTCTTTACAGGTTGGTGGTAAAGTACAGCCACAAAAATCATATCAAAATATACCAATTCTTTGTTTCCTATCGAAGAAAACATACACCTTCCCTATGATCCAACAATTCCACTGCTAGTTAGTTGTCCAAAGTAAGTGGAAGCAAAACTGATTTAAAAAGATGAGGAGAAGGGGTGTCTGGGTGGCTCAGTCGGTTAAGTGTCCGACTTTGGCCCATGTCACGATCTCACGATCCGTGAGTTCGAGCCCCGCGTCCGGCTCTGGGCTGATGGCTCAGAGCCTGGAGCCTGCTTCTGATTCTGTGTCTCCCTCTCTAACCCTCCCCCGTTCATGCTCTGTCTCTCTCTGTCTCAAAAAATAAATAAACGTTAAAAAAAAATTTAAAAAAAAATGAGGAGGAGGAAGAAAATGTATACTTGTGTTCATAGCTACTTTATTTGTATTTTTTTATTAAAATGTTTTATTTATTTTTGAGAGAGTACAAGCAGGGGAAGGGAAGAGACAGGGGGACACAATATCCAAAGCAGGCTCTGCATTGACAGCAGTGAGCCAGATGTGGAGCTCGAACTCACAAACTGCGAGATCATAACCTGAGCTGAAGTTGGACGCTCAACCGACTGAGCTACCAGGTGCCCTGCTACTTTATTTGCATTAGCCAAAAAGGGGAAATAACCCAAGTGTCCATGAATAGGAAAATGGATAAAATATGGCATGTTATACAATGAAATACTATGCAGCAATGAAAAGAAACAAACTATTGCTACATGTAACCACATGGATAAATTTCAACATGAGGGATGAAAGATGCCAGACACAAAAGAGTACTTGATTCCACTTACATGACATTCCAGAATAAACAAAATTAATCTATGGTAAACACAGGTATAAATATTTATGATCCTGGATTAGGAAATGGTTTCTCAGATATGACACCAAATACAGAAGGAAAAAGGGGTGCCTGGGTGGCTCAGTTGGTTAAACGACCGACTCTTGATCTGAGCTCAGGTCATGATCTCGTGGTTCCTGAGTTGAAGCCCTGTGTCGGGCTCTGTGCTGACAGGGCAGAGCATGCTTGGGATTCTCTCTCTTCTCTCTCTCTGCTCCTCCCTTGTTCACATATACTTGTGCGTGCGCGCGCTCTCTCTCTCAAAATAAATAAATAAATAAATACATACATACATAAACTCAAAAACAAAAACAAAAAACAAAAAACAAAATAAACAAACAAAAAAACCCAGAAGGAGCAAAAGGAAAACCAGATAAAATGCACTTCATTATAAAAACTTTGTGTTTCAAAGGTCATCACAAAGAAAATAAAAAGACAACCCACTGAACGGGAGAAAATTTTTACAAATCAGATATCTGATAGTGGATGAGTATACAGAAGATATGAAAAACTCTTATAACTCAATAATAAAAATCCCCAATTTTTAAAAATGGGCAAAGGATCTAAATAGAAATTTCTCTAACGATATACAAATGGCCAGTAAACACACGAAAAGATCCTCAACACGATTGGTCATCAGGGAAATAAAATCAAAACCACTACGAGATGCCACTGCACACCCAATAGGATGGCTATAATCAAATAAACCAAGGGGTGTCTGAGTGGCTCAGTCGGTCAAGCGTCCGACTCTTGATTTTGGCTCAGGTCTGTCTCTTGCTCTCTCTCTCTGCCCCTTCCCCTCTTGTACTCTCTCTCTCAAAATAAATAAACTTAAAAAAAAAAAAGAAAATTATGGAATCTTTATTAAAACCGTTGATAACATTTCTTTCATTAAACAACGTGCCTGTCAGGCAGAAGTACGATAAAGTCTAGGACCCACCTGCATTGCTGCATCACCAATCGCACGTCGGATCTCCCTTAGAGTCTGATACTGCTCCAACAAGTGATCGCCACAGATGATATCTACCTATGGGCAAATAAGAGTATCAGATTGCTTTCCTGCTTCAAAAAACCATATGAAAAAAATTAAGAAAAACCTACATAATTATTTCCAAACTAGACTTTGCTATTTTATTTTAGACAGATTAAACACTCTCAAGACATATTTTAAAAACTTGCTATAAAAATAAAGTAAAATGGAAGGGGTATTAGAAGACATAGCAGGATAATAGTATAGTACAGCAGGCACTCAAAATGTTCCCTTGAATCTCTGAGAATAAATAAAATCACATTTGATATATTCAGCATAAGGCAGCACGGGAAGGTACATTTTTTTAAGTTCCATGATAAAATTGTTAAAAGGGTATATAATACTTAAAAAGGCTTTTAGTTACTTGAATAATTCTCTTACAAGGACTATCTCACTTTCCAACAATGAAGAGTCTAACAGTGACATCAAGTGCACACTAAGGGAGCTGTTTTATAAATGGAACATCTTAAGATTTTTTAGTTCTTTGGGAAGTCAAAGCTCTAAGATAAATCTTTTACGGTGAATGCTCTAGAAAGAATGACATTCAGGGGCGCCTGGGTGGCGCAGTCGGTTAAGCGTCCGACTTCAGCCAGGTCACGATCTCGCGGTCTGTGAGTTCGAGCCCCGCGTCGGGCTCTGGGCTGATGGCTCAGAGCCTGGAGCCTGTTTCCGATTCTGTGTCTCCCTCTCTCTCTGCCCCTCCCCCGTTCATGCTCTGTCTCTCTCTGTCCCAAAAAAATAAATAAACGTTGAAAAAAAAAATTTAAAAAAAAAAAAGAAAGAATGACATTCAGTGACATACTACAAGGTAGTAAGATTCCAGTATACTTACTTGCTAAGACAGAAATGCAAATCTTCAATCTTTCTTTGTCTTTCAATGAGTGCTCCTTTCCCATTGCCTTAAAATGGGGTCAGGTTCTTGATGTCTTATTCATATAGATCCCTTCATTGACTACATCTCCTAAGGTCACTGTTTAGTTTATGGTGTGACAGTTCTTCTTGTCCTCTAACTCAGAATAGAATATCACCTCTGACTCTTAGTTCTCCTTTCCCTTTCTTCTCATACGCAAACAGTTAAAAAGTCCTGCGGCTTCTTTCTTCATAATACCTCTCAGTGTTCCTATCATCCTTTCAGCGGCTACCCCTGGGCTTAAAGCTGAAATCCCCTTCTAACCAGATCTTCCTACTTTCAAATTCTGTTTACTCTAAAATTCCTGTTCAATGCCAACATTATTAATCTCCTTGAAAGCTTCAGCATAGGTGGGGAAGAATCATAAAAGCAGTTGAATTTCACTGAGAAGCCACTATGTATACCATATGTTATACTATGTATATAATCTTCACATTCTTGTGAGCTAGGTATTATAATGCCCAATTTACAGATAAAAATACTAAGAGGTAAAGACATTTAACTTTCCTAAAGTCGCAAAGCTAGTAACTAGTAAAGTCCAGATCTAAACCCAGGTCTGTCCCCAGGTCTATCTTTCTCCAAAGCCTAAGTGTACATCAGGGGTTAGCAAACTTGTTCTATAAAGGGGTAGACGCTAAATATATTAGGCTTTGTAGGCTCTAGGATCTCTGTCATAGCTTCTCAAATCTGCCACAATAGCATGAAAACAGCCTTAGTATGGCTGCATTCCAATGAAATTTTATTTATAAAAACAGATGGCAGGCTAGATCTAGCCTATGGGCCAGTTTGTCAACGCACATGCTAAATCTTAAGGCATAAACTCCAATTAGTACCAACTTTAAAAAAAAAAGATTTTTAGAAAGTAATCTCTACACCCAATGTGGGGCTCGAACCCACAACCCCGAGATCAAGGGTCACATGCTCCACTGACTGAGCCAGCGAGGTGCCCCCAATTAGTACCAGCTTTTGTGTCTCACACCTACTAGTTTCAACATTGGCAGAGCAAGCCTTGTTTGCAAGATGATTTGAAAGCTATGATAGAATATTTTGTGCACAGACCTCAGATCCATGAAAAACTAAAGAATTTGGAAACAATCATCATGTTTTGATTAAGTATTCAGCAATCCAGAGACCATCACTCTTCATGGGCTTCTCCCCATGGTATACATTTATGGTCTGGTTACTGTATTTTTCTTTTCAACTTAATCTTAACCCCCAGAAGTTGGCCAGTTACTAACAGTTTGATGTGGATGGCCCTAGATGCTATGCGCACATGTGGGATTTTTGTTTTGTTTTTTAAACATGGGATCATGAGAGAGCCTGCGTAGCTCAGTCGGTTAAGTGTCCAACTTTGGCTCAGGTCATGATCTCACAGCTCATGGGTTCGAGCCCTGCATCAGGCTCTGTGCAGACAGCTTGGAGCATGGAGCCTACTTTGGATTCTGTCTCCCTCTCCCCCTGCTCCTCCCTTGCTTGCGTTCTCTCTCAAAAACAAACATTAAAAAAATTAACAAAAAATAAAAAATGGGATCAAGCCACATAAACTGTTCTACAACTTATTTAAAAAACAAAAAGCCTTAGGGGTGCCTGGGTGGCTCAGTCGGTTGAGCGTCTGTCTTTGACTCAGGTCATGATCTCACAGTCTGTGAGTTCGAGCCCTGTGTCAGGCTCTGTGCTGACAGCTCAGAGCCTGGCGCCTGCTTCCTATTCTGTGTCTCCCTCTGTCTCTGCCCCTCTCCCGCTCATGCTTTGTCTCTCTCCCTGTCAAAAATAAGTAAATATTAAAAAAAATTTTTTAAACCCCAAAAAACCTTAATATAGCATAGACATCTCTGAAGTACAAGGTTACCTCTAATATTGTGTTCCACTATATAAGTATGTCATAACTTTTTATATTTATTTTTTATTTTAGAAAGAGCACAAGTAGGGGAAAGAGAGAATCTTAAACAGGCTCCATGCTCCGCATGGAGCCCAAGGCGGACCTCGATCCCATGACCCTGGGATCATGACCTGTACTGGAATCAAGAGTTGGACAATCAACTGAGCCATCCAGGTGCCCCTGAATATGTCATAATCTATAAATCCATTTCCCTGATAAACATTTAAATTGCTTCTGATTTTACAATACTGATTTTTAAAAGTTACCTGACTGTAAATATTTCATAAATTACTTCATTCAAACAGAGTCACATCTCTGGGTTCCCACAAACATGACCCACATATTTGGTAGTTTGTAGATGGACTCACGGACTCAGCAACACAGCAAGGATATGTGGCCAGATCAGCAAGGGAAAAAGATGTAGGTGGAGTCTGGACAAATCCACACACAGGCTTCCTATGGTTCCCCTCTCGGTTCAGAAGAAGATACACCCAGAGTACTCCTTTTCCTAGCACTGGAAATGCAGCCCACTTGTGCAATGTTTCTGCCCAGGGAAGCCCATTTGAAGTTCAGAGTACAGGGTTTTTACTGAGGGCTGTTCATGATGGCATTCTCTGCCTGTAACAAGTACTAAGCTCCAGACTCCCAGAAGGAAAGCAGGTATTCATCACAGATCCATTGTATGGTGTAGGCATGGTGAAACACCCTTACTGGGAACTTTCTGCAAGCCAAAATGCTAGGTAGGCAAGGGCCAACTGTAGAAGCAGTCCCTTCTAAAGAGAGCAACCTCAGGTTTGCTTTATTAACTCTTTTCCTGTATAATCTTTCTACCTCTGGAGTAGCTAGGTCTCAGGCAGAAAGGTTAACTGTAATATTTCTAACCTCAGAGCAGAAATCAGACTGTGAGGGTAGTCTAAGAAGGCAGGAAAAACCTGTATCTTTTTTTTTTTTAAACCCATATAAAAAAATTTTCAACGTTTATTTTTGAGACAGAGAGAGAGAGAGACAGTGTGCAAGCAGGGGAGGGGCGGAGAGAGACAGAGACACAGAATCGAAAGCAGGCTCCAGGCTCTGAGCTGTCAGCACAGAGACCAACGTGGGGCTTGAATTCATGAACCGTAAGATCATGACCTGAGCTGAAGTTGGACACTTAACCGACTGAGCCACCGAGGGGCCCCAAACCACCCCCCCCTTTTTTTTTTTACAAGCAAGATCACACTACAGATTCCAAGATAGGATTTTTCACTGAATGAGCTAGTAGCATACTTGTTCACACATGCTCTTCTTTGACAGAAAGTCTTTTTTCTTCGTCTGGCAAATTCCTATACATTCTTCAAGTCCATTCTTTGACTCCTCCAGAGTTAAATCATTCACTCTTGCACTCTTGTCACACTCACCATATCCTATTGTCATTCAGTTGTTTTCTTGTATATCTTCCCTACAACCAAGTCCCTTGGTGGCATAAATTTTCTCTCTCATCTTTGTACTCTTAAGGCCAAGTACATAGATGCTCAATTTAGCATCAATAGGTAATAAATAAATGGTAGGGACATACCATATGATGCATTAGAGTCTGTTTAAAAATTGATTTGGAAACAATTTAATAGTAAGGTTAAGTTCATATCCTAAATAAATAATAACCTATCTTTTAAGATGGAATTAATTATGGTAGGATTAACAATAAAATCTAACATCACTTATTCTACATAAAGAATTTTTAGTGATCAATGTGATGTTTCTTTTCTTTTCTTTTTTTTTTTTTTCAACGTTTATTTATTTTTGGGACAGAGAGAGACAGAGCATGAACGGGGGAGGGGCAGAGAGAGAGGGAGTCACAGAATCGGAAACAGGCTCCAGGCTCCGAGCCATCAGCCCAGAGCCTGACACGGGGCTCGAACTCACGGACCGCGAGATCGTGACCTGGCTGAAGCCGGACGCTTAACCGACTGCGCCACCCAGGCGCCCCTGTGATGTTTATTTTCTAAGTCTCGTTTCATAAAACAAAAATAAGATCTGACGATCAAACAGTGTACGAAGGAACACAAGAGTAGCTATAAGACAAAATAAAAGAAGACATGAGTTCAATATACCATTGACTCAACCACAGTAATCCAGAGGCACTCGGATTTCTATGTGATGGAATCTATCCAGACAATTACTGATTTCTGATTTTGAATTAACTTAAATCTCTTGTAAGAATACATGATCTGTATTTTTTTAATCTTTCAGAATTGTCTTCCTTTTTTATTTTGGTATGCCACAAATAACTTTAAAGGTAGTTTATTACTTAACAGTCCTGTAGTAATCATTCATTCCTGCTAGAAATAACCCTAAGTGAAGGCCACATACCTATAAACAGAGCACACATTTCCTACTTGGGAATAACTGGTTTAAAGAAGATCAGCATAGCAGGCTCAAGTAACTGGGTTCACCAAGCATTTTATTTTGATTAATGGTTAACTAGCTCAATGTTCTGTTCGTATTAGAAGTAACTCTTGTTTACTCTCTCTTGGATTTAGAAGGTCTAAACAATTTTAGTCACAATCTGCATATTTGATAGTTCTCTGTTCCATCATTTCAACATTTTGGTGAAATAGTAATTTATAAGTGTTACCACCTATATAGTCCCTGAATAGGAAAGAAATATTTACCGAGAAAGCCAAGAACTGACAGAAAGTTAAATGTTGAAGACAAATTTTAAATAATTTTATTTCAGGGGCGCCGGGGTGGCTCAGTTGGTTGAGCATCTGACTTCAGCTCAGATCATGATCTTGTAGTTCATGAATTCGAGCTCCACATCAGGCTCACTGCTGTCAACACAAAGCCTGCTTTGGATCCTCTGTCCTCCTCTCTCTGACCTTCCCCCACTTGCAGTCTCTCTCTCTCTCTCTCTCTCTCTCAAAAATAAACGTATATATACGTATATATATAAAATTTTATTTCAAAATGCTGAAAGCCTTGAATTCTATGATATGAAAGAAAAAAACCTACATTTTTACACAGCCAAACCAATTTGGCAACCACATTTCTTAAAACACCAAATATGAAACTTATAAATGGTAATTCTGTTCTGATCGGTATCTAGCCACAGAGGAAGTAATCTATACCCTACAGAAAGCCCTCTTGGGTGGCATGTCTTACTTTATATAATCAGGTGCCACTCTTCTGAATTCTGCTTTCAGAAATAATAGACTGTTACTGGATCACTTACAATTCTTTGTCCAGGGGTCTCTAATAAGTTACCTTTTTTTTTTTTTTTTTAATATTTATTTTTGAGACAAAGAGAGAGACAGAGACAGAATGTGAGCGGGGGAGGGGCAGAGAAAGAGGGAGACACAGAATCTGAAACAGGCTCCAGGCTCGGAGCTGCCAGCACACAGCCCAACTCTAGGCTCGAACTCACGCTGCGAGATCACGACCTGGGCCGAAGTTGGACACTTAACCGAATGAGCCACCCAGGCGCCCCATCTAGTTAGTTACCAGAAGACTAGCAATAACCTCAGGTAAGCTGTGGCTACAAGGTGGCCAGGTAAGTTATTTCCAGTTTTCAGTTGCCATGAGAAATATCTGTTAACTTAATAGCAAATAGTGTTTTAAATAAAAATTATTTCTTCAAATTTTACACATGATGGAGAACAAAATCCTCTTTAAAATTTAAGTAATGAAAGAGCAAAACTATATAGATGTGCGTTGTCAGTGACCCACATTCTATTTAGACTTTATGTTCAACAATACATGAGGTTCGAGTTTCTACCTTATAACAAGAACATATTACATGGCTAGAATGGGAGATCTTTCCTAATGCTCAAAAAACCAATAGGGTCTCTATTAGACAGCTATCTCACTTTTCTAGGTGTCTTGGACCTAGCTTGTCACAAACACAAGGATGTCCTCTGAAGAGAAGAGGATGGGTGATAAACAACCTTCTGCACTATCAAAGAGACAGCCTTGGGGAACCGAGGCTCGTATCCTCAGCTCTTCTCTGACACTGACAGGTAGTCAGTCACCAATGCCAGTGAGAAGCAGACAGTTGGTCAAATGTGATTCAAGTGGGGCTGGAATCACTGTGTCCCAATATTTAATTAGCATTTACATTATCTACATGTCATAAAAGCCACAGCATGCAATCCTTTTTAGCATTTCTTCAGTATACTAAAGGTAATCTCACAGCTTCATCTGTCCTTTTACACACATATACTCTACCTGACAAGCTGGATCAAGACCCATTTTTCTTCTGAGGAATTTTTCTACATGCCCAATAGTTGCTTCTCCAGAAACTCGGACAAACTTCTTTTCCAAGGGCTACAAAAATAAACATAAATAAATATTTTCAGAATGAATACATATAATGTATAAATCATAAAGCAAATTTTATAAGATGTCCAACAGATTTATGAAAAAAATTACTATGAAATTTGAGCTCATTTACCTAACAAAGAAGAAAAAAGGAATTTTTGCTTAGCTTCCCCTCTGAAAAGTATGTCAATAATTTTTTTTAATAGAAAAGCTTACTGGTTTAATACCTCATCAAAAATAAAACTTAGAGTAAAATGTATTGACAGAGAGAGAATATCTAAGACTAAATTATGTCTAAAACAATCTAGCATCCTCAACAAAAAAACTGCAAGGGAAAAAAAGAACAAGATGGAGAAGGAACGTCTAGACTGAAAAGATGTGAACAATATAAGTAAGAGATATGTCAACCAATTACAATGTATGGATCGCATTTGGGTCCTGATTTAAACAAACCTATACAATAATTTTCATGAGATAATTCTGGAAATTTAAGTAGCATGTGGATATTTGATTAAGGAATTACTATTAGTTTTCAAAACTGTAGTATTCCTATTCTGTTTGTAAAAAGTCCTTATCTCTTAGAAGCAAATCTGATTATTTACTGATAAAAATGTCTCAGATTTGCTTTAAAATTGTGAGAAGTGGTGAAGACATAGATGAAACGAGATTGGCCGTGAGTTTATAATTACTGAAGCTGAGCGTGTACATGGGCATTCATTTTACCGTTCTGTCTATTTCTGTGTAAGTGTGACATTTTCCAAAATAAACGGTTTTCTTTTTTGAGAGGAAAATAAAAAGACTGACATCTAGACATATGTGGCTGGAATCTGATCCGATGGTCTAAGGTGATAGGGGAGACGCCACAGGGTCTTAAAGGAAAAGCTAACACTTAGCCAGGCACTCCATCTCCAAGGCAGTTTTAAGGATATTACTCTCTAACACAAAGGAAAAGCTGAGGTAATCAAAACTAAAAGGGTACCTTTTAGGAATACATGAACAATAGGTTAGGTGCACGTTTGTCTCAAATAACAGCACTCAGCCTTCTTATCTGTAGTTTGGTTCCTTAAGATATTCCCTTATAGTAACACTACCCCTTATTACCACAGTGCAGCAGACAGCATAGGTGTTAAGCACAGATACTCCAGAAACAGACCCCCTGGGTTTAAACCCTGGTTCTGCCATTGTCTAGCCCTAAGCCTTTGGGCAAGATGATGAACCTTTCTGTCCCCATTTGTAAAAGAGATAATAATAGCACCTACTACACCTCACAGATTTTATCAAGAGGAAGGTGAGTTAATGTATGTAAATAACTATTAATAATTCCTGGCACATATTTACTACTGGTGTGTTGTGATCATTTCACTCTTTATGTAAAAGAACTTGACTCTTACATAAGAAAGTCTATATAAGAGACCCTCATCCCATGGTTATGGGATACTGATACAATCTAGACAAAAATGGCAAAGTTTCACGCTCTTTTATTGTAAGTACAGGAATCATCTCACAAAGCTAAAGCAGTCTAAGGAGGTACAGCCGTGCCCCAGGTGGAGTCCCCAAGAAAATATCTCATTGTAGGTGGCACTGGTTAGCATAAGAATCCTATCAAGGACCTTGAGAAGCTGCTATTCTGAATTATCTAGCTATGCCTGTCTGGCAACCAGTGTTTTTTTTTTTTTTTTTTTTTTTTTTTTAAATGAGTGGGGTAGATGGACAGAGGGAGAGAGAATCTTAAGCATGCTCCACAACTCAGCATGGAGCTGGACACAGGGCTTGATCCCACAACCCTGGGATCATGACCTGAGCGGAAATCAAAAGTCAGATGCTCAGCTGAACTAGAGAGCATTTCTGAAGGTTAATTCCCTGGGCTTACCTCAGGTATACCAGCAGAGGACAGTCCAATTTCTCTCATTTCTAAATTCTTAGTGAACACCTCACCCCAGGCGTTTGTTAAAATTAATCCAACTTAGCTAAAGTTATAAATACTATTACTTTTTAACTTTTTAAAAAATGTTTATTTTTGAGAGAGAAGCGAGCATCAGAGGGAGGGAGAGAGAGAGAGAGAGAGAGAGAGAGAGAGACAGAGAGACAGAGAATTGAAAGCAGGCTCTGTGATAATAGCAGAGAGCCTGATGTGGGGCTTGAGCTCACCAACTGTGAGATCATGACCAAGCTGAAGTCAGACGGCTTAACTGCCTGAGCCACCCACCCAGATGACCCAATACTGTACTTTTTAGATCACCTAGAACAGAATTATGAGATCTGCCAACACCTGAAAGAGAAAAAAACGTGTCTTGGCTTTCAAAGCCAGGGTTCTCATGTGGCTGACTTAGTCCTCATGCCCCAGGTTCACAAGTTAACTGGACTTTTCCTCCATATAATTCACATTCAGTTTTTTAGAAGACAATTTGGGTTTTTTGTTTTTGTTGTTTTGCTTAAAGCTCTAGAACAGTTCTCACCTACATAGTCAACTCTTATCTTTTCTGCTACACCTCATGGTCTCCTACCATCTGTAAATAGGAAAAAAAAAATCCAGATTTATACCTCTTTGATACCAACTCATAATTACACTTTACCTTGAAAAAAATCCCTATTTCTGTCAACTGAAAAGGCCTAGAAACTGTTATGTACCCAATAGGTAGGTGAACCCCCCAGTAGCCAGATTGATTTTTTAAAAACCACCAAAAGGGGTGACACCTGGGTGGCTCAGTTGGTTAAGCGTCTGACTTCAGCTCAGGTCATGATCTTGCAATTTGTGGGTTTGAGCCCCACATTGGGCTCTCTGCTGTCAGCACAGAGCCTGCTTTGGATATTCAGTCTCCCTCTCCTTCTCTCAAAAATAAACAAACATTAAGGAAAAAAAAAAAAATCACCAAAAGGAACTAGGACACCTTGGAGAAAGGACTAATTCCATGTCTGGGGGACAAGAGATGTACAAGTTGAACACAGAACATCTTGTCATATCAGATAGCAAGAAAGTATTACAGACTATGATACCTATGATAGGACAATTGGAACATCAATAAAGGTAATAAATAAAATAGGTTTAAATCACAAATATGTTTAAATTTAGGAGTTCACACTAAAGTAAAAACAAAAACAAGAAAACCTATTTGATTTGGTCAAGACTGGAGTACGCTCATGAACCAACTCATTACTCTCAGCTTGGTAAGTAAAGGGAAAGAATCAAGCATTTATCTTGCCTTTCCTATAAAAAACGATTCCACTGGCTAACCAAATAGAGGAAAGGAAGTTTCTCTTTATAAAGGTATTTTAACTAGTAAAAGAAGTGGGGGCAGGGGGGCCTCACTGGTTTAGTCAGTGGAGCATGTGACTCTGGATCTTGAGGTTGTGAGTTTGAGTCCCACATTGGATGCAGAGATTATTTTAAATTAAAATCTTAAAAAAAGAGGAATGATAGCATCATTTTCCAAACCTTATTAAGCTAATGGGCTTAGACACTGAGCTCCAATGGTTGCTAACATAAAGAGATCCAGACAACCAGATATTATGTGCTTCTAGATAGACAGAAACACCACCTATGACGTATTCTTGATCCCTTCAAATCAAACCTGTATGATCAACACTCTGAACTTAACTATCAGTTTATGGGAAAGATAGAAGACAGAAGAACATGCCAAATTATACCACAGTGATACATCAAAACCCAATCTATAGAAAACTACAGGACAAATGACTCGTTGTCATCAACAACTGCAAAAAAAAAAAGAAATGGAAAACCTAAAGATTTGAAGACATTCATATCCAATCACAATGTGTGAATTTCATCTGGATCCTGACTTAAAGTGTTTAAAAAAAAAAAAAAGTGGGGTGCCTAGGTGGCTCAGTTGGTTAAGCGACCAGCTCTTGGTTTCAGCTCAGGTCATGATCCCACATGTGGGGTTCTAGCCCCACAATGGGCTCTGTGCTGACAGTGCAGAGCCTGCTTGGGATTCTCTCTCCATCTCTCTCTGCCTCTTCCCCACTCACACACACTCTGTCTTAAAATATACCAACTTGGGGCGCCTGGGTGGCACAGTCGGTTAAGCGTCCGGCTTCAGCCAGGTCACGATCTCGCGGTCCATGAGTTCGAGCCCCGCGTCAGGCTCTGGGCTGATGGCTCAGAGCCTGGAGCCTGTTTCCGATTCTGTGTCTCCCTCTCTCTCTGCCCCTCCCCCGTTCATGCTCTGTCTCTCTCTGTCCCAAAAATAAATAAAAACGTTGAAAAAAATTAAAAAAAAAAGAAAAAAGAAAAAATATACCAACAAAAAAAAAAGAGAGCGAGAGAGAAAAACACCCACTGTAATTGACACAATGAAAAATTTGAACAATGAATAGATACTTCACAGTAAGAAACTGTTTTTTGGAGGCACCTGGGGAGCTCAGTCAGTTAAGCATCTGACATGATTTCGGTTCAAGTCATGATCTCACAGATCGTGAAATCAAGCAATGCATCAGGCTCTGTGCTGACAGAGTGGAGCCTGCTTGGGATTCTCTCTCTCTCTTCTTCTCTCTCTGCCCCTCCGCTGCTTTTTCTCTGTCTCAAAATAAATAAACAAGCTTAAAAATATTGTTAATTTATCTCATTCACCACCCCCAACCTTTTGTAAAATGACTAACATACAAAGTTTTAAGATAGTACTATGAAGACCCAGATAGCTTTCACCTAATTTACAAACTGTTGATATATATTGCGGCATTTGCTTTAACTCTTCTAATCTATATGCATGTATGTATATGTGCATGTTAATTTTTTATTGGACCACATGATTTATGTACATACACTGAGATATTTTACTCCTAAACATATGAGCAATTATTTTCTCAGAATAAAGGGACTCTCCTGTATAACTACAATATAATTATCATGAAACATATATAATATTCAGGAATTTAACATTAATACAACACAATTATCTAAATAGTCCAAATTCTTTTATAAATTGTCTAATACCCATTGTAAATTGTTCTTATATCAGTGAAGGATCACACATTGCATTTTGTTATGTTTCTGTAATCTTTAATAAAGAATAGCTCTGCCACTTTATTTTTATCTTTCATGACAATGACGCTTTTGTAACTTTTTTTTTTTTTTTTTTGGTATGATACATGGTCATTAAAAAAAAGAGACTCTTCTTTCAAGAATACTGAAATATGTTAAGTGTACAACTTTGATTCAGGTCATGATCTCACAGCTCATGGGTTCAGGCCCCGCATTGGGCTCTGTGCTGACAGCTCAGAGCCTGGAGGCTGCTTTGGATTTTGTGTCTCCCTCTCTCTCTCTCTGCCCCTTTCCCTGCTTGGGCTCGGTCTCTCTCTCTCTCAAAAATAAGTAATAAAAAAAATTTTTTTTAAATACTAAAATATTTACAGATGAAGTGGCAAAATGCTGGGGATTTGTTTCAGTATAACAGGGAAGTGGACAGAGGTACAGATTAAATTGGCCATTAGTTAACTGGTAAAGCTGGGTGACAGGGAGGTTCTACTTTTCACTATGTTTAAAATTTTTCATAATTAAAAGTTAAAAAAAATGACTCCTGGGAAAAATTATTGGGACTATATTACTGCCTTGTGAAACACTTTGAAATTGAATATAGCAAATAGGCTTTATGACTTTCATGCTACAGGTCTACATGGTAAAGAGTTTAACAACCCGCTCAGACATATTTATTTAAACTCAAAGATATGAACCAACAGATTCATCATCACCTCTCATAGGCATCAAACCTATAAATTAACATCTGTATCATCAATTAAAACTGAAAATTTAATGCCTCAAAACTATAAGAGAATAGTATCATCAAACTCCTATATACCATCACTTAGCTTTACCAACTCAAGGCCAATTTTGTTTTAAATATACCCCACTCATTTCCTACTGCAACTACTTCCTGCCCCCATTAGTTTTGAAGCAAACCCCAGATGTATTATTTCATTTGTAAATACTTCAGTATGTATCCCTAAAAGGTAAGAGCTCTTTAAAAACACATAATACCATTATCATACTGTAAAATCCCTTGATATAAAAAAATATCTAGTATATGTTCAAATTTCACCCATTGTCTCAATTTTCTCACCCAGCAGGAAATGATTTTACTCTTTTTAGGGCTACCATTAAAGAGAAAATAATAAAACACAGATTTCATGAAAAAAATTTAAACCAAATATGGACTCAAACTAAAATTCCAATTTATGCATGTATTTTTATCGATACATTTTTTATACTCTCAAAATACATACCCTAAATATATTATGAACAATAATTCTATTCAAAGTTTCCATCAGATCTTGGCTTACTTTTTAAAAGTTTTACAGCTTTATTGATATATAATTCATATATCATTAAATTCACCATTTTAAAGTATACAATTCCATGGTTTTTAGTTTATTGGTAGAATTGTGCAACTCATCACCACTATCTAATTTCAGAACATCTTCATCATCCAAAAAGAAACCCCACACCAATTAGAAATCACTCCCAGTTTCTCCCTTTGCCCTGAGACTACGGCGACCACCAATCTATAATACTGTTACTATGAATTTCTCTGCTCTAGACATTTCACACAAATGGAATCATACATATGTGCCTGGCTTCTTTCATTTAACATATTTTAAAACTTCATCCATGTTGTAGCATGTATCAGTACTCGATTCCTTTTTATTGCCAAATAATACTCTGTTGTATGGATATATCATACTGTGTTTATTCATTCATCAATTGATGGATATTTGGGGTGTTTCCAATTTGGGGCTATTTTTTCATAAATTTTTTACAGTTCATTTTTCAAATCAAATCCAAATAAACTCCATACATTGTAGTTAGTTACATCCCTTGAGTCTCTTTTAATTAATCATCCTATCTATATGTTCCCTCTTCACCTCTCCCTTTTATTCTGAACAGAATTGTTTCCATTGTCTAGATTTGGCTTATTATATTCCTACGGTGTCATTTAACATCCCTGGATTTCTTGTAAATTAGTAATTAAATCTAGGAGTGTGATCAGCATAACATTTGTTTGTTTTGGCAAGAATACTTTACAGGTGGTATTGTCATGTTTTTCTAATGTGTTAGGATTGGAACTACTTAAATATTCTAGGTCCATATGCTTTTGTGGAAGCAACAGGCTAATTAATTTCTAGTTCTTTCTTCATGAAGTTTTTACACTCTCTTGGGTGTCTGGCTACTACAGATGATTGGACAAATATCTTTAGCAAACTCTAGGAGCATAGGACACTATACTTGACCCATACAGAAACTTATATGCCACTTTCCCACCTACCACACTACTATGAAAGAACTTCCTAAAGTTAATTGCCATAAATTTGATTTTTTACAACTTAGAATAAATTCAAAGTTACCAAACTTAACACTGCATCCCCTCCATCACTCTGATCTCTAGGAAACATCTATAATATACTTCATCCACAGAGGTATCCACCTATTCCTATGCTGTAGTTCATGTCTCTCAGCAACTGTATTCACAAAACAGTATACCAAACCAGATATAATCCACCCAAGCGTTACTACAGACTTTGACAAAGTCACTAAAAATCCAAACAGATCAAAGCTATTTCCTTATATATTTACAATCCCAAGTAAGTATAAGGCCCGATTTAACCCTTTTTAAAAAGTTACCCTTTCAAAAAAAAAAAAAAAGTTAGCTTTTCCTGAATGACTCATCCTATAGGAGCAACACTGTGTACAATGGGAACTGTGCTAATAGAGCCTTTAAGACAACTCTGAACTTACGTATGTTACAAAGGAGTTCATTCTTACTTCTAAAAATTCAGTAAATGAAGTTACAAGTTAGGGCAGGTTACCTTGAGCCCAAAATGTTATGTGCAACTAAAAATTTAAGCTCATATTTAACCGAATGCCAACTATGCAAAAAATGCTTTGAAACATTTTTTTAAATCACCAAATTATCCTAGTATTTGGTTTTAGAGTTTTAGAAATATCTCACTTCTATTTCCTTAGACCACTGTCCTGTATTAATAACAAATCCTTACGTATTAACTCTTTTCTCATAAACTTATTATGACAGCATTACTGAACGTACTTCGTATTTCTACCACTTTTATTCACAAAACACTACTGGAATTGAAAGCAATCTCCATGATTGCTAATCTGACTCCCAAATTGTGTACTACAGGGTCTTCCTGTGAAGTAAATGAAAATAAAATACCTTAAAATGTCCCGTGCCTTCATTAGCACTGAAAAATGAAAGCAAAATTAATCAACATTTTAAACTATACGTTAAATCATAAAACACAGAAAAATAACATGGATATAAATACTCGAGGAACATCAATTTAATCTTAAAAGGCCACCACCTACCCTTTTATGAAATAAAGAAATGTGGTTGTCACGTCTGCCACCTACTGGAAGGTAAAGGCAGTTTTCTCCGCTATTTTACACTACTTTGTATACTTCCAGGAGTGAAGACTATATCTTTAATATTTAGGTTTCCCCCGCATGTTACATTCTAACATTTTCCAATTTATTTTTTTTTTAACATTTTCCAATTTAAAGTAAGACTTCTTTTTTTCCTATCATAATAAATTTGTTTTTACAGTAACCTTTACAAGATAGATTTCTTACAAGAAGGCTACTAGATTTCCTGTTAGTTTGCTTATAGCATAATGGGCAAGATTTGCTGTTTGCTCTTCACCTAGAAGTGCAAAGGGACTTCTTAAGTCCATTACATTTATGTCATGAGGAGACAACAGGCTCTAACTTTTGTTGATCATCTACTATGCACAGGCATTGTATGAGGTCTTCATAGAAGATGCATGCTTTTCATTTAGTCCTCATAATAGCCCTGCATATCGGGTATTAGTATCTCCCTTCTACAGATAAGGAAAATTAGCCTCAGAGAGGTTTAATAACTTAAGGTCACAGAGCTACTAAGTGATAAAGCTTCCAACTCATGTGTACCTAGCATCAGAACCCACATTCTTTCCTACAGTGTTGTGAAGAGTAGGCCAGACCACAATTGCATCATCTACAAAATATTCTTATAATACAAATATAATAAAGAAATATATTAAAAGATAACATAAAAGCTACGTTATAAGCACATAGTATGTTAATATAAATGTTTTATATATATATATATGAATGTAATGTAAACCTAAAATATATAATATAAACTTAGAGTTGTAAAATAAAATATCCTACTTGTTACAAGAATTATTTCTATAGAATCCATGATGTACAGTCATCTGGCTTCTGCTTAAGCACCTAAAGAGAGAACTTCTCAACTGACAAGTTAGTTCATTCCATTTGTGGGCAACTTGGTTAGAAATGGCTTGCTCGCACTGAATCAAACATGTTTCTCCCTGTAACTTACACCTACTAGTCCTAATTTTGTCTTTTGGTACTCTTGTGAACTAGATCCAACTTTTCTTTTTATATGATAACCCTCTAAAGATCTGAAATTAATTTAAGGGGCTTAGGATTGTTCTTTTTCAGACTATTTTTGTTCCTTCCCTTACCATATATGACATGGTTTTCTAACTTTTTGCTATTCTGGTTACACCTCATTTTACCAAACTCTCTCTTAAAATGTAGTGCCCAGAGCTCAACATAATACACTAGTTGGATTAATACAGCATACAGTTGGATAGCAATTCCCTGGTCGACTAAGTGTTACTGAGCTGAAGACTGCATTAAATTTTGGCTGTATCATACTTATCTCATGTGAGTCCATTTTATTCACTAGGCAGATGTACATATTACAGGACCACAGAGTACTTTAACCTTTATTTTCGAATGACCCTGCATTATTTCAATATTCATACATTGCTAATAGTTTAGACATGGTAGGAATACCATAAATTGATACTTAAAACACTCCTGTTAGATGCTATTATGATCCCCAGTTTAGAAAAACAGAAACTGATGAGAATTCAGCTACATCCCAAAGGTTATATACCGTTAGTTACTGAGACTTTTCAAAGTCTATGGTTTCTATATACACTATACTGCCTGCCTGAGGTTATTTCTTTTTATAATCTTCTACTTTACACACAAACTGAAGAACAGAAACAATAAGTACAAGACTATCTAAATATCACAAAACACGCATACCCAATTTAGGGGGGGACCTAGCTTCATATTCCAAGGGTTGAAAAGTCACTGCCCACGAGATGAACCTACCTCGGTTTTTTTTGCTCCTCCAACTCAAGTGGGGTCAACAGATGGACCAAATTTGCTTTTGTACTTGCATCAGGTTAAAACTCATCTGCCGCTTGTCCTGCCATGAGAGAGCTACCTATGCGTTACCCTCAGTAGCCTGACTTCTGTGAGAACATAAAAGCTTTTCCATGTAGTGAACTCTGGGGACTGGTGACTTCAAAAGGACTCTCTGCTTCTGGAAGCTTTCTTTCAAAAAGACTCCTTGCCACTCTGAAAGCTTTTTTCCCCTCAACCAGTTGAAAATGGATAAAGGGCTATATTATGAGTCAGACTACTCATCATAATCATCAACACAAAAGGCTCAATTCTTTCTTTTCACAGATAGAGAAGCTGAAGCTCTGAGACTAGAAGTTCTGTGAGGGCAAAGGCCATGGCTGACTTCTTCAAACCCATATTCTCAACCACTAGCAGAGTGCTGTGCTGGTATGTAGCTGGACCTTAACATCTTGTGAATAAACAAAAAGCAATTTGTTAATGTTTACAAAACTAGATAACAGAAAAGCTAGGATTTAAACCTAGATCCTCCCTTATTCCAAGCAAGGGCTCTTTTCTTCTTCTTCTTCTTCTTCTTCTTCTTCTTCTTCTTCTTCTTCTTCTTCTTCTTTTAGAACAAGAACCAAGTCTTTTATTTGTTCATTTCTTGCGTTTGAAGTATTTCTCAATGACATCCTTGGCCTGAGACTCTTTGCCACAGTCCTTAACCACCAAACAGTTGCAACCAACCACTTGATGGGGTTTTCCCTCTCTGTCAGTTTTACATAGGCCCACCCATTCCCCTAGTTTCTTGTTGTCATCAACCTTAATTAGGTTGATTTGGTATTCAGCACAAGGGGCATCCATCAACTTGACGTATATAGGTTCATCACACTTGGATGCAAGCACACAAAGATGGGCTTGGCGCTTGGCGAATTCCACACGCCAGCCCATCGCGGGAGAGGGCAGTCTTCAGCACCTCTCGTAAAGCAGTATTGACATCCGTTGCACCTCCAGCAGCAATGCCTTCCTCAGCCATGGTGGTGGGTTACCGGTGGAGCGAAGCTTGAGTGCAACAGAGCCTCTGCCTCCCTGGGACTCCCCATGGCAGGGAAAGAGCATGAGGGCTCTTTATTCTACAGCAGGGAAAATTTACTAATGAAACAAATTTGGTAAGTGTTAATGACTGCCCTGAGTACTGTGGTCAATCCTCACTCATCAGGAAAGCCTGCCATGACTTATTATGGATTTCTGCTGCGGGCAGAGACAGAGGTAATGGCGGCATACCCATCACTTATTTGCCATCTTTACCTCCCTGCCACTTTTCAAAAAATGTATAAAAAATTGATCATCAGTTCTTACTGTGTACCAGTAGAAAACTTTACATTTCCCCAAAATATTTTTTAGAAATATAAACTCCTTTCAGCTTTCAAATTTTAATTAAACAGACTTCCAAAAAATCAGGTTACATAGTAAAAATTCAAACACAACGAAAAGACTTTTTCCCTACTGTAGACTCACAGACTTCAGTTGCCCTTTTCTAGAGGCAACTGCCATTAACACATTAACATTTTTTTTATATGTCCTTTCAGGAATGATCTGTGCATGTAAAAGAGAAATGTATATATACATATTTCCCAACATGCTCTTTAAAAAAAAACCATACGTGGGCGCTTGAGATGTATTCTCTTATTTTGTTGATTGTTCCATTTAAGCATATATGCTGTTACATTAGCACATACTCGTGTGCTATATACCATTATGTAACCAGGTCCTTTTTAGATTGGAACACATTCTTTATTATCAGAAATTGCTTGTTTAAAGTTTGGTATTACACAGTTTCTGTTCATTCCTCCAAAGGGATTATTTTGTTATCAACCACTACTACATGGGCTTTGTGTTCTCGCCCCTTAGGTGTCCTTAATATCAGCCGAGAACAGGGTGACTGACCACATAAAGAGGTAAACACAACATAGCACACGCTAGATACTAAATAGATGATACAGGCAATCTAGAATTATAAGGAGAAAGTTACTGAAAAGTAAAATAGTCATCAGCGACACAAAATGGAAAATCTAGATTTTCTAAAAAAAGCATGTTAGTTTATTCTGCAAACTATGTAAGAATTTTGAAAACTGCAGTTTGATACATGCCAACTCTGATGATACTGTATTTAACAATGTTGCAATGTAATAGAATATACCATATGCTACGTATAAAGTTTGAAGGAAGCAATTTATATCAATTGGAAAGATATCCAACTACTTCAGAAAACAATTTGGCAAAACCAAGTAAAGTTGAAAACAAATATATCCTAAAACTCAGCAAATCTATACTCTTAGAGAACTATCTCACATATACACAAAGAGATACATACAAAAATGTTTAAAGCAACATTATTTATAACAGCAAAAAAAAAAAACAAACAAACTGGAAACAAGCTATAAGTTCAACTGTACAAGAAAAATTACGGTATATTTATTTTAAGGAAATACCAGGCAATGGTGAAAATGAATCAACTAGAATTACACATTTCCTCATGGATGAATCACACAATGCTGAGTGAATAAAACAAGTTGGAAAACACAGTGATACCATTTAAAGTTTTTAAATGGGCAAAAGCAATTCTACATCATTGCTTAAGGATAAATACGTGTGATAAACATATTTTAAGAAACCATGGGAATCGCAATCATTACTTTTAGGAGACTGGTTATTAACCTCTAAGAAAAGAGGGATGAGCAGGAAGGGGTGGCCGAAGGGTTTGTGCCATACGAGCGTGTGGTATTTCTTAAGCCTGATGATGGTGACAGAAGTGGTGTAGTGCTATTCTTTAGACCTTTTTCTAAGTCTTAAATATTTCATGATTAATTTTTAAAAGGATATCACAAAAATTTGATTTTACCTACGTTAAGGATGAATTTCATAACTGTTGGACTTAACAAATTCTTTATTTTAAGGTTAAGAGGTAGAGAGATTAAGGGTACTCACCCAATGAACTCTAGTAGTAAAGACATATCAAGTTCAGGTGGGATACGAAACACTGATTCTAAGACTTTCTTAGATCTTCCTTTGCTCGAAGGGACTGGCTGTGGAACAGCTATTTAAAAGCCAAACAAAAAAGTTGGGTTAGAATAAAAATTTCATGAATTGAGATCTTTGAAAAATATTACACAGATATTATAACTATGTTGACTATTTAAAAGATGATAATGCACTCAATCTCCCTTTAATAACATTAAATAATCTGTCAAAGCCAGTGAAATTGCGCGTGGGGACCACTCCACAACGGAAGGCAGGTATACAGGGTTGGTTTATCAGGGCCACAGAGAGGGCTCATAACACAACGGTTGTAGATAATCCTTAACAAGCACTATTGTGTGCAAGGGCTCAGGGGTCATGCTGAGCACTGCACGTGCAGATTCTCATTTAACCCTAATCATGATCCCATGACATAGGTATACTGCTTTTTTTTTTTTTTTTTTTTTTTTTTTTTTTTTTACTTAAAACTGTAAAAAAAACGGAGATTACTGTTCAAGTGAGATTAGGCAATATATAGTACGTGGAAGAACCAGGACTTAAACACAAATTTATCTAATTTCTAAGCTATCACATCACCATCATCACAAAAACTGAACAGTTACTATGTTCCAGGCACTGTTTTAAGTGCTTTGTATTACTCAATGTATCCTCACAACAATTTTAGGAAGTACTATGATTATCCCTACTTTATAGATGAGGAGTCTGAGACATTGAAGTAATTTGTCAGAGTCACACAGAAAGTGGCAGGGCTAGGATCAATCTCAGACCATCTAGCTCCAGAGCCTGTACTCCTTAATTTTTATAATTAATTAAATTGAATTACACATCATTACTTTCATCATCTTTCTCGCTCTTTGATCATAAGAAAACAAGCTATCACCAAAAATAATTTCAAAGGGAATAAATTTCGTTAAGTTAGTGGTCTTTAATCTATAAATACATTATGGTATACACCCAAACTTACCAGGTTTAGGTACTTCTAGACCTCTTTCTTTATAGAAATCATGCATTTGCTTTTTTTCTCCTAAAAAATGATAAAACACAGACTAAATTACACTTAAAATGTAACTAGGAGAGTCAGCAGAGATTCTGGGGTTCACAACCATGTAATAAAATAAACTTACTTTCCTCTAGATTGATCACTAATTTGTACACTATGTCTTGTAACTGTCGGTCCAACCTAATAAAAGGAAAGGATGGAGAATACCTCAGAATTCAGCAAAATGCATTTTGGTACAGAGTGAGAATAACTGATGCTCTTTGTAAATAACTGCTTTCTCTTGGGAGTGGGTATCTCCTTTTTCAGAGGTGAGTTACTTTTATAGGTAGCACCAGTTCTCAACTGAGAGAACCTCAAGTCATTAATTATATGTAATCATAAGTAATCACAGACTATTGAATGGTTTGCTAAATTGTTCCATGTGGACTCTCTTATTCTCCTGATAAGAATATGAGCTTGAGTGCGGAAACTGGATTTTGAACTTCTGTGCATCATCTGCAAACCATTCTTCTAGAAAGATAGTAAAAACGTAATAGTATTTGCTGAACAAATGAAAACCAATCCACTTTTAATATTTTTCTTCACTTAGGAAACATAGTATGAACTGAAAATCTGAAAAAGCCACAATGACCTAGGACACACCGGTTTTTCTAAAGAGGCCAGTTGTTTCAGGCATCATTTTTAAAAAGCAGAATTCTAACTATCCCCAAATGACAAACCTAAACTAGCCACAGGAACTTGACTGATGGAATTAAAACCCTCAGAAAGAGAGGCCTGTGCTTATTTATTTATTTATTTATTTTATTTATTTATTTTTGGTCCCCAGAAGGTATCACAGTGCCTGGCACACAGTAAGTGTGTTAGATATATTTCTTCAGAGAATATGTAGTTGCCTTTTTGAAACAGGTCAAGAATTCATTCCCAACTACACAACTAGAAGTTTTCATTAAACAAAGTATATTTAAAATATAAATTTTACTTATATATTTTTCTTACCTTATGTTATAAAGAGGTTGTGTCTGATGTACTACTATGTTGCATTTTGGACATCTGTTGCTATAGTAAAAATGTCTTACAATGCAGCTTTTACAAACTGTTGAAAAATAAAATGTTTAAATTAGGATGCTTTGGAGACATTTCAAAAATTGAATGTATCATTTCAAAATGTGAACTATATACTTACATGTATGAAGACATTCTGTAATGGTAGTTGCATCTATCAAGTAACCTTTGCAAATGGAACACAAGATGTACGGGGTCAGTTCTGAGAGATTAATCAGGCGCTGCAAATGCAATGGAAGTAGTTTTAAAGTACAAACCCTTGCCTTCTCAAATTCTTAAGCCATAATCCCCACATATCATTATGAACAATGTAACTTACTTTGCAACACCACAATATTACAGTACCTCCAACCCTTCAAAATCCTTCTGAAAGTTACAATAACACAATATAAACCAATGTTTCAAAAAGACCTTATTCTCCTGGATATACTGCATACCGCCAGATGAGGAGTATCTTACTTTATGAAATACTTACAAAACGGTCAAACTTTCCAGATACAGGTGTTTACGTTTAATAGGTCAATTCTGACTGGCTAGGTGTATTATCCAACTTGATGAAGTATGCCCTACCACATTAAACAAACAAAACAAAACAAAAAACAAAAACAACCATCCTTTTCAATTAGAGATTGACTGGATAGGGAAGAGTGTGCCATCCTCTCAACACCCTGTAGAAGAAATGGACTGTTTCTCGTCCGACTTGCAAGTTCCTGGAAAGAGAAGCACTGCACCCTACGCGCCCACCCGCCTGGCATAATTTAATAATGATTTACAGAAAGATCGAGTCGGACCCCGAGAGCCTAAGTGAGCGGCAGGAACCTCACAAAGAGTCGACAGGGGGTCGGGCGGGGAAACAAGCCCAGTCCGCGCCACATGCCTGGGCAGGTAGAGCAGGGAGGGGTGGAGGTCGACGCGAGTGCCAAGGGCTACAACGGCGAGCCGGGGACGCGCGGCCCGGCCCTCGACGGGGAGGGCGGGCTTCGTCCCGGAGGCCCCTCTGCCCCGGCGTGGTCAGGCAGGGGCTATAAATACCTCCTCTTCGTCCTCGGAGTCCGGCCGGCCTCCCTCCAGCCTCAGCGAGAAGTGGCTCATCTCTTCCTCCTCCTCCTCTTCTTCTTCCTCCAGCTCCTCATCCTCTTCCAACTCGTCGTCCTCGTCCTCGAAGCGGCCCCGCATGCGGCCCAGGCTGCGCTCCGGCTCCAACTCTGGGGGCCGGGCGCCCGAGCAGCCGGGAGCCCCCGCCTCGGGCAAAGGCGGCGGGCCCTCCTCCCCCGCTGCGGGTGCCGGGGTGAGGGCAGGCGGGGACACGGCTGGCGGGGGCGGCATGGCCGCAGCTCCCTCGGCCCTGGCGGCTCCCGCGCTGCCCGTCGCCAACGAAACCCTCTCCATGCCGGGGCTAGAGGCCGGTCGAGACGAGACCCAGTGGCTGGCTAGCGCGGGAGTACTGCCGACCTGCCTACGCTGCCAGTGCGCAGGCGCGAGAGACCTGCAGGGCCGCTGGGAAATGTGGTTCGCTGCCCTCACCTAAACCTGGGCGTGCACTGAGCCGTTCTGCATATAGGGTGGGGCCCATGGCCGCATTTAGAAGAATCAAGTTTTCACTTTGGAAGGCTGATGCTCTCTTCACTCCTTTTTAATTTCATTTAATTTTTAAGCAGTTTGCTTTTTTAAACCGATCTCTACACCAAATGGGATTTGAACTTACAACCCTGAGATCAAGAGTCCCGTGCTCTACAGACTGAGTCACTCGGTTGTCCCTCTTCACTCCCTTTTTTTTTTTT